GCTGCAGGATACATGCCCAGGGTGCTGATGGTGCATTCCCCTATGCTGGCATTGAAAGGCAATCGGAGAACATTCTCATCTCCAGGGTTGGTGAGGCTGCGGTCAGGGCATCAGAAGTGCAGAATGCCAGGGGGTCAGGTCAGCAGTGGTGCCTGTCAGGAAGCACATGGCTCGGGCGCTGAGGGTGAACAGAAACAGGCTCTCGGACTGGGATTCATGCCACTGACCCCTTCCTGCTTTCCTGCACTGCCTTCTGTTTGGGTCATCTGTCGTGTGTGGGAGGTTGCAGTTTTCCTACAGGAAATAAAACCACAACTACACAGTTCACAAAGTCAGCCTGGCACCTGCTAGAAATTCCCAAAACACTTTCAAATAAACATTAGCAAGGAAGACAGTTTGGTTGTTGACAAGAAATTTATATTTCCTTATGCCCGAAAAAATTCAGAGTCAGATTCTCCAAAAGATATTTGTCCAGCCATGTTACAGCAGCCAAAGGGTGGAAATAATCAAAGTGTCCATTAATGGATGGATGAATGGACTTTAAAAAGACGATGAAAAATTCAGCCTTAAAAAGGAAAGAAATTCAGGTACATGCTACAACATAGATGAATCTTAAGGACATTATGCTAAATGAAATAAGCCAGAAGCAAAGAGACAAATATTATATGATTCCATTTATATAGGGTACCCGGAGTAGACAGATTGATAGAGATAGAAAGTAGAATGGTGCTTGCCAGGGCTGAGGGGTGAGGATTTGGAGTTTAATGTGGACAGAGTTTCAGTTTTCCAAGATGGAAAGACTTCTGAAGATTGGATTTACAACAGCATGAATGTATTTAAAAATATGGAGCTGTACATTCAAAAATGAGTAAGACGGTAAATTTTACGTTATGTATATTTACCACAATTAAAATTAAATACATATTTCTTGAAACAAAGTATTTTCATGTTTAAAACCTAATACTAAATCAATTAAGTACACTAATTTCTTCACATTTTTTATTCACTATTACTTTGTTCCCATGTGAATTCTTCTTTATCATCTTAATAGAAAAGGTCACACACACTGACTTCATTTTCAAATCATAGAGTTCAATAATAGGCATTCCATTCATTAAATAAGTTACAAGTAATAATATCTATTTTGTTGTCGTTTTGTTTTACTTCCAGAGAAAACATAATTCTTTTAATCAACCCTTTCGCCCTCACTCCATAATAATATTACTCAGGGTTTGTATAGTGTGACATATCCAACACATTTTCTCTACTTTGCTTCCATGCTTGCAGTAAAACAATGTAGAATATTCACAACCCCATCTCAGGAGCAAGGAAACAGATTTAGAAAGGGTGCATGATTTAACCAGATAACATGAAGAGGCAGTGTTCTTTCTTAGCCTTCCTGCCCCGTAATAGCCACCCAGCTGTGCTGCTGTACCCGTGGAGGTTGGGATGGCCAAGGGGGTGAGTGAGGCACAGATGGAGACTAGGTTCAGTGGGGACACTGCCTGTTTCCCAGGACCCGTTTTCACACTGTCCGGGGAACACAGTATCCTGAGAACTGATTTGCCTGACAAAGCCTGGTCACTGTACTTGCTGTGTGGGTGCTAGAAATATCTTCCAGCTTCCTAGTAACTTACTTCATAAAAGGGGCTGCTCCTTGCAAGCCATTTATTGGCCAGCAGAAAAGATCATGTTAGCTTAAGTGCAGCATCCATAGCAAGCCCTTCGGTGCCCGTCTACTGAAGATGCTGATGAGTGAGATCGAAGGTTCATGTAAAAAGTCCTCTCAGTGACATCTTCAGCACATCGCTACCCGAACTTTCTTATTGCCTTCTGTAACTATTGCACCACATGGGATTCATGTTTGGTCGATAAATTTAGAAATAGTCATTCATTTGTTCAGCTGTATATTGAGGGTGTGCTACATACTCCAGGCGCCGTGTTACATCTCACCTCTGAGCGAGCAAAAAGTGGTCCTTGACCTCCAACAGTTTATAGGCCGGTCTTAATTCTTCAGCTAGTGAGAGCATCGCATCATTTACATGAGACGTTACCCTCCAAGTTATCCCTCTAGTTCAGCCTCAACTTTATACTCATACAGTAATTTTTTCTACAGTATTCATGGCACCATGCCCAGCTGATACTGAATGCTCCCAGAGAGTGAACACGTCACTGCTAAGTGAGGCAGCTCTGGTTATTAGAGCTTTTCCTTAAACATTAAGCTACAAATTACTTCTAGTTTCTGTCCTCATTTCACATTCTACCTTTCTGGAAGACAGAGGTCATTTCTTTCTAGAGTTGTCTCTCCAAGAGGTGGAGATTCTTCTCCAATTTCTCCTATGGCATGGTTTACAAAAGGCCCCTTGCCATCTGGTAGATTTCCGTGTCGGGCTTTGATCCCAGGACTATTACCACGTGAGGTCCATCAGGGCGCCCTAAGATAGCATGAGCTTTGCCTACAGCCGCTTATTACCAAGCCCCGTTGAACCTCTGGTCCTGTGTAACAACACTCAGGTAAAGGCATATCACAGGCATCTTGACATCCGGGATAGGTAAAGACTTCCCGGAGAAGCTGGCCTTTAAGAGAGAGCTCAGAGAGCTCAGGGAGTTTTAGCAGAGACTGATCTTTGAAGATTACAAGGGTAGAGGCAATATGCTCAGAGCCTGGAAGCAAGAAGGTGGGGGAAATTTAAAGATCTGAGAACTTATCTAGTGATGCTTCAGAGCAGCCCAGATTATACAGATGCTTCAGTGTCATAACCAGATTTTGTTCTTTGGTAGGCTATGGGAAGCTGAAGATTTTTGAGTTTTTCTTAGGTACATTTTAGGAAGGTTAGATTTGTGATAGAGTGAAGGGAGTATTAGAAGTGAAGAGGCCACTTAGGAAGATTTCATGGTGGGTTAAACCATGAGCATCTCAACCAAAAGCACTTAGAAGGATAATTTTCCCCACATCCTCACCTATACCTAGTATTCTCATACTTCTCAGTGTTGCTAATCTAATGGGTATGCATTGGTTTTTCATTATTTTAATTTACATTTCTTGATTACTAATGAGATTGGGCATTTTTCCATATTGGTTATTAGTCACTCCTCTTGCCCAGCATTAAATATTTGTTTGTCTTTCTCTTGATTTGTGGGAGGTTTTTAATCCATGATAGTGACTAATCTTTTGACTTCTAAGTATTTGCATCTGTCTTCTCCTAGACTCTTCTCGGTCCATTAACCTTATTTACAGTGTCTTTTTTTATGCAAGAACTTGTAAGTTTTCATGCTGTCAAATCTATAAGTCATTTCCTTTAGGGTATATGTTGTTACTTTAAGAAATCGTTTTCCTTCCTTAAGATCATAGAGTTCTCCGTGTTTTCTTCCAATATTTACAGTTTTAATTTTGAAGTTTATGCCTTTGTTACATACTGGATTTATTTGGGGGCCCGGCATGTGGTAAGAATCTAATTTTATTTCTCTCCAGCCGGAAGTCAGTTGGGTAGTCAGCCATTGGCCTGTTTTGTGCCATTGCTAGCTCTATACTGTCCCACACCTGCTGAGATGTCTTTCTTGGTTCCTTCTCATCTTCCGTTGATTGATTCATCTACTCCTGTGCCAGTACCACCTGGAATTACTTAGCGTAGTCTTGCACTATGATTGATACCCGGTAAGGCAAGTCCTCTTATCTTCGTTCTTTTGGTTTTATTTATTTTTGAAGTCATCTTACCTATTTACGCCATTACTCTTCATGAGGAATTTTAGAATTTGTTGGCCAGGTAACCAAAAGTGCTCTTGGGATTTTCACTGGAACTGTACTGAACTAATATAATAGATTGTTTGTGAGAACTGACATCTGAACATCTGTACAGCCTCGTCCATGAACAAAGTATTTCTCTCCAATGATTCAGAGCCTCTTTTATGTCCTTCATTGAAAGACTACGACTTGCACCTTCATTTCTTTTTTATTTGTCGAAACATCCAATATTTAAGTTCCAGACCACAGAACAACTCCACAGTAATAAAACCTACAGTAATGAAAAACACATTTTAAAGCAGTTTGGGGTTCTATCAGCTTGGGAGGGTGGATTCGCATTTATTTTCTTCTGTCGAATAATTGTCCTTCCTATGTGTATCATCAAGTAATTCATACAAACGTACCATTTGCCATTGCCAAGCAAAGTCCTTGAGGCTTCCGGTCCTTGGGCGATGTCCATTTATTCCATCAGCACGTGGCCCAGCACCTCCCCACCCGAGTAAATTCACTTACGGCGTTATGCCTATGTATTTTCTACCCTCCGCAAAATTGTGAACGATTTTGCCAAATGCTTTGCTTACATCAAAAATCACTTTATCGGTGACATATTCCTTTCCTAATGAACCGTTCTTGTTTCTTAAGATTGCTTTTAGTATTTCACCAACAATCTGCATCCACGTTTTCCATTTAGCATTACGAAAGATTTTTCATCTCCTCCCCACACACTTATTTGTCCAGATCGAGTGAGTCTTCTCCAATTTTTCTCATTCTCCATGATTTCTCATAATTTTCTAAAGTGACACTAGGTTCAACCTCTGATTTTCCAATAGAATGTTTGATCACATCAGCATTTATATTAAAATCTCAACCCATTCCCACTCACAAAAAAAAAATGCTCGTCCTTTAGTGTTGCTACGTTCTCTCATCTAACTAGAGTTGGGTCCCAGTTAAAAGTCAGCACTAAGTGTTTAGGTAGGAGACTTATGACACCATTAAAAAGCATTTAGTATAAACTACATCTTTAAAACTGCTGCAATGGATATAAATGATTAACTTAGATGAGTAGCCTCTAAATTGGCTGAAAATTTTAGAACTTTAAAGGTGACTAAAGGAGAAAAGAGTGTTTGTTTCAAATGTCGCAGTTGCTGAAGAGGGAATCTAGTGGAGAATTTTTTAAATTTACAGAAAAATCTCACTGAGCTTTGAGTTCTTTGACCAGATTGAAGTTAATGACTTTGTTGTCATTGTGTTTCTTCAGCTTCCAATTGTGGAAAAGATAAGAACCATCGCCCAGGCTGTCTATGGAGCCAGAGATATCGAACTCTCTCCTGAGGCACAATCCAAAATTGATCGTTACACGCAACAGGTAAGTTATCCTTTTAGGGGAAAAATCCACCTTAGGCTCTTGAAATAGTCACCTTGACTTGAGGACTCATATATGTCTCACCAGCTGAACTTGTCTTACTTAATCTACTTTGTGGTCTACAAAGAATGAAGTTAATATCTTTGGGTGTAGAGTGTTGACTATAATTAGAACATTATGGTGAGGGTATATACCCTCTAATCTATACATCATTGACTTTTAAAGGTGGAGATGCGCCGTGTTCTTTTCATACACGTGATTCATTGGCTTGGTGCCGAGATTGTCCACCGAGGTTAAAGTCTCCATCCTCTTCCACCTCTAGAGAGTGACAAAGACAATTCTCCAAGCAGCTGTGAAGGTGGCTGGGATTCAGCAGCACGAGTCACTCTCTGGTCCTATAATGGTCGTGGTTAATGGACTCCAGGGCTACGCATTCAGCCCTGACCGAAAGGACCATGTGCCTCGAGTGCCCACTTCACTGGGTAGAAGTCAAAGCACTTCAAAAGCTCGATGGCTAAAGAGCTTCGTCTCGAGTGTCATCTCTTTTTTTTTTTTTAATTCCCCAACTCCTACATCCTATTGTAAATCATATTTGACATTTTGTTAAATACTGCCAGTGCCGAGCAGAGTATTCTCCCAGGTTTGGTAAGATGATCCGCAACTCATTTTTAATTAGAATTTTCCATGGATGCTCTTGGCTGGTGCTTTAGAAAAGAAATGCTTCCCAAACATTGTTGTATATTCAGGTGCTGTTCTGTCATAAGATTTTCATTCACATGCAATGAAATATGTAAAATAAGGTCCTTGTCATGATTTTTTATGAGTTTTTAATAATATTTAAGGACTGTCATTTATTCTAAATTAGGTCCTTTGTTTCAGTCTTAAAAAGTGCTTTTATTAAGTAATCTGATGATGGTATATGGCATATTGGGATTTGTTTGTTTCTTTCTTTCTTTCTTTTAATATCCCCACTGGCAGATTTTTAAATTGGGAGACCTACATCAGTTCATAAAAATTATTTCAGTTTTTGAGTAATCTCTAAAACCCATTCTGGGCACCATTTCTGCAGAGCAATTGTGCTTGTGCCCCAACAGAATTCTGATCAGTATATGAGTATTGCAGCATCTCAAAGAGAGGAGCCCTCTACCCCCCAACAGATAACTCTCAAAAATCTTTCAAATAGTTTTAAGTTGAATCATAAGAAATTCAGCATGGGTCACCTCTGAAGACTGCATTCCTTTTATCTGTCTACCGAGGGAGTGTTCCTTAAGAGTTATGTGTCAAGTATGTGGTTGCCCTTAATTAGCAAAATCTCTAAAAGGGCACTATGTACCCTTTAATCGGAACCAGGCTGCAAGGACACTGTCCTTTTTGTGAGACACCACATGCGACTTCCTGCTCTTTCACCTTTGGAGCTCTGGGTCAGGCGAAGCCTTTGGTCCTTAAAAATAAGAGGCTTAAGTAGTGACCTCATCCTAGTTCCTATAATGTAATCGCAGATCAAATAGCCATGATTCATAAACCAACACAAAGGGCTTCTTTGCTTCCTGACAGCCTCCAAGACCGAGTGAACAACGTGACTGAAAGTCTCATTACGAAGCCTTTCACCAGATTACCTTTCTGAGTCCCGGATATTAATGTGTTTGCAAAGTGATTTCTACAGCTGCTGCTGGTGCTGCTGCTACTTTGTCTGAAAATAGCCACACTTTCTCCCCAACACATACATAATACTGCCTTCCCGTAAAGAGAATTCTCCAAAATAAATAATAGACATCCGTAACCGGCCAGAAGATGATCACGTGGAGATGAGTTTCTGTCCCATCTTCTTGCTTAGCGAACAGATAGTGTCAAGCACCTACTACGTGCCTGAATCTGAGCTGTGGGGGTTATATGGAGTCAAGTTAAACAAGGACAGGAGACTAACATTTATGCTCAATGAACACATTCCCTTTCCCTTCTTACAGGGTTTTGGAAATCTGCCCATCTGCATGGCAAAGACCCACCTTTCTCTGTCTCACCAACCTGACAAGAAAGGTGTACCCAGGGATTTCATTTTACCCATTAGTGATGTCCGGGCCAGCATAGGCGCTGGGTTCATATACCCTTTGGTTGGGACGGTGAGTAACATTCTCCAGAAACGTTTCTCAGTCTGTGTTGTCACGCGACCTAAAATCCTTCTGCTCTGCCAGCGCTTTGCGAATCAGGTGTTGGGAAATAATTAACGGTATTTGCTATTTTTTGTAAACACTCTCTTCCATCGTACGAAACACCTCTGCCATTGTGGTGTGGAGTTTCTTTTCTTTTTTTCTTTCTTTTTTTTTTAAGATCATGTGTTCAAGAGCCCTCGAGTCATAAAACTGATTTTACTTATAGAACATAGAAAAGAAAGACTCGGGAGAATTCAGTCTGCTGTTTAAGTGGCAGATGGCTTAGTATAGTGCTTCTCGGCCTTTGTCACATCGTTGCACTCAAAATGATAAGATTTCACTGAAGTGTGGGACAGACGGAGGCGACGGCCGTGCCAGACAGGACCAGCTTAGCCCCCAGCAAGGGCTGGGGAAATCCATGTGTCGCTCTCTACCCTCTTTCTCAGCATGTCACATGGGAAGCTCTGCCTTAGAAAAAGAGTGAGTCATATGAGGTCTCGTTTTTGGCATTGTTTAATGCGACTGCGTTTCTATAGGATGATTATTATGTTATTTCAGCTCTCTATGGGCAGAGGGGAGATAGCAAAGAAATGAAAACTTAATCAAAGCACTTAAAATCCGTGATGATGGGCTTCATATAAAATGCTTCATTATAGCCACACGATGATACGATAGCCTGCCCCTGGTAACCATCAGTGGCTGAAATTTGACTTCTCATCATGGGAGTGCTCCTGGATTCGATTTAGAGCAAAAATTCTAAATCTTTATTATTGTCGTTCTTGTTACACACTGATTCAAGCCCAAATAGGAAACATAACCATTTCCTTAATAAACCGTGTGGTCTAATATGCAAACGAGTAATGGGTGGGCCAGGAGCGCATGAAAAGTACAAAATTCTTGCCTCGATATTTACACATGTTTCATTTAGTATTAGACAAAACGTTTTCGATGAGGAGTTTTAAATTCTTACTACACGTGAGGCATCGCGATACTAAAAGGAATAGGTGTGAGGAGCATGCGTTTGAACAGCACCGAGGCACCTAGAACAGGAGCCGTTGGCATCCTGAGTGCCCTCAGAGCACGCGGACAGGTGCGGCTGGTTCTGCCTGCAGGGGGGAGGAGCCGGGGGCGTGCAGGAGAAGAGGAGAATCAAGGATGCTTCGTAAAGGGCTCAACCTCTGGTGGGGGAAACAGTGCGTTTCGACTCAGAGGCATGACGCATCCTTCCCGGGCCGGTCCAGCAGGGCTGGAGTTGGGCAGACGTGGAGAGGTTGAGAAAGGGGACTGGGATGGCAAGACAGGGCCAAGCTGTTAAGCATCTCAGCTGCCATCTGAAGGAACTTGGATTTTATCCCGTGCATACTGAAAAGTCACTATAGGGCGAGTTTTGTGTTTGTTTGGTTGATCGGTTTTCTCTTTATAAGAAGGAGACGAGGAACGTGGTCTGTCTGGGATGTTAGAAAGTATCTCACACAGCCATGTAGAGAGTATTTGGAGGACAGAGACCCAGACCCAGGAGTTAAATCAGCTGTGGCCAGAGCTGGTCAAGGTTGGCACTGTAGCTGCAGGGGTGAATAGGGGGAGAGAGGCAAATTGGAAACATTTTAAAGGGAGCCACGTACATGTGGGGTTCAGGGTCAGGGACATGTCTAGCTTGACTGTGGATGGTGATGCTGTCAGTCATGGAAAAGACACAGGAGCAAGGCAGATCAGCAAGGCCAGAAATGAGTCCAGCTCGGACACAGAGAGCTGGAAGGGTGAACAGGATATATAAAACAGTTCCTGATGTGAATCCATTAGAAACACAGGCACAACACTCAGAAGGAAGGAATGGAAAAGAAGACCCTGAGGGGTTTTAAGAATATAGATGGAGGCAAATGTTGAACAAGCGGAGAAGCAAGGATAAGCACCAGAGAAATGTGAGTAAAGGGTGAGGCCCTGGAAACTTCCGCGGTTACAGAGCGGACTGTGTGTGTGACAGGAGCCCTCCGAGAGGCTAGACGGAGCCGTCATAGGCGTGGGGGAGACCAGGGAACACCACAGGAACTGATGGCGAAGTCGCCAGTTGGGGTTGACTAGCAACAGTGTCGGTATAGGGGGAAGGGTTCAAATAAAATGGGTACCGGATGACGTTTCGCAAAAGGTGCAACTGAAGTTAAAAAAAAAAAAATCAGATCAGTGGTTGTGGGGAGGGGAAGGTGGAAAGGACCATCTGCAAAGAGGCCCGAGGGAACTTTTGGGGGGGATGGAAATACTCTGTATTTTGTTTGCAGTAGTGGTGGTTCCATGACTGTATATATTTGTCAAAACTTATAGACCTACACCCCTGGAAAGGATGAATTTTACTGAGTGTAACTTAATCCTACTCAATTCACAAAAATGAATACTGAGAAGAGCTTGCTTCGGTATTCTTTAGAGTGGCCTCGTGCTGGCAGCCCTTCAGTGCTAAAGATCCCCTGAGCTTTGGTCTTTGCTTAGGAGTAAGAGCTCAGCTGTAGTGCAGGCCCAGAGAGGCTGCCCGCCGAGAGAGACAGGCCATGAGGATGCCAGACAGAGCAGGAAGCGATGGAGATGGAGGAGAAAATTAGCATAGTTCATAACCGGTCCTGTCTTGTCCTATACAGATTCGAAATCTCACAGTAGTTCACCCAACAAATTCATTCATTCATTCCTTCAGCTAATGTGCTTAAGGCACCGTGCTCAGTGCTGCGCAAGCCCCGCAATGAAGATGCTTTCTGCAATTCAGGCAGCTTACAGCTAGTAGAGGTGGGTAGAAGTGAATTAACAAAGGAAACGGTTTGGCATAAAAAATAAGAATCAGTAAACGATAACCTTAGCTAGTTTCTGAGCATGTGATAGTCATTAAACAAAAATCATAATATACTTTAAAGTCTTGGGAATCACTAAACAAATATATGTTATGAATCTTCTCCCACCCCGACTAATAACACATCTTCCACCATGTAAGTCCAGTTCTAGAAAATGGGAATTCTGTGAGCCACAGCTTATGCGTGAGCACCAATTCGTCCCTCTACTGCCCCTGGACGTGTGACCAGTTAGAAACTAACTGTGCGGGGAGCGGAGGCTGCAGGCCTGCGGGTTTCCTGAAGAGAACCCTGCCCTGCTCTCTCCCCAGCACCCCTGTTGGCTGTGTCCCCAGCACCGGGCTGAGCTCCCCGAGTGGCCACAGCAGGACAGGGCGGTGAGTGAGGAAGGAAGCGGTGCCTGACTAAAGACGTTCCTGGAGGTCAGGAAGCTGTCTCAGGGAGGCGGTGGCCTGCGAGGCCTGCTGTCTGTGACAGAGCCGGAAGCCGCGTGTATCTGGGGGCCACCACTGGAGGCCAGGATCACCTAATAAGGGCCGGTATTTACTTTTACTTGACCCCATTCTGGGGCCTGTCACCGTCCGCTAAAATGTTTCTACCATTCATCACCTCGGTGGGTGACATAATGTAGTAAATTCCTGATGAGATGACCGAGGGAAAGGGGCACAGGGACACCGGAGGGACTGGCTCCTGCAGGTGGGAAAATCCCAGCATAATGAATCACTCTTACTCCTTAATCACTCAACACGGGTTTATTTGAGTGCCTTTGAAATGTATATTCCTCAGCCTACTCCAGAAAGAAAGCCCAAACTGAGACCTCAAAATCAGAAAGCTGCTCAATTTTTATGCAGTGTTCATGCATTCATTCACTCACTCATTCATTTGTACCTACAGTACGCTCGCAGTGCTGTAGACCACGTAGAGATAAACAAAATCCAGCACTTCCCTCGGGGGCCTTATGACAGTCCGTAGTAAGTAAAACTGCACAAGCACAGAATGCTGCATGCAGGCTTTATAACGAAGGGAGAAATCCCTTCCTGGTGTGTCCTCAGGGGAGGCACACCCCTCCGGCCTCATAGTAGATGTCAGAGTGGAGAATTGCAACACAAGCAGGTTCCTCCTCAAACAGTAAATGTCTCCGGCCTTGCTGACTTCGGGAGACCACGTGGTGAAATGCTGGAGAGTTCAGGTTTTCCTCCTCCAGATTTAGCTTTCTAAATATTTACTTTTACCCTCCATCTGTACTTATAGGCCAGATTTGTCAACCATTTAATTATTTCATCGTGTTCTATTTAGTGACTGCTTTCATTGTCATCGATCACCACAGTAAAATAATAGTAATAACAATAGTGATGGATGCCATTAACTGGCGTAGACCACTAGTCCCTCTCGCTTCCCCGTGCCGTGTGCATAGACGCACCCCATACATGGATTACTCAACTCGTGGACATCTGAGACCTTGGCTGCCGTTCTTACCTGCACTGACAGTGTTTTCCACCTTGCTGTAGGGAGGTAACTTTTCCTTCTGCAAATAACTATCTTCGTTCCTAGTAAGCTTCATGTGCATTCCCGCCTCCCTTTAGTGACATGGGGATGAAGTCTTTCCAGCACGTTATGGAAAGTCTGACCAAAGATGTTCCTGGAGGTCAGGAAGCTGTCTTGAGAGGGCAGGATTCTTGCCCAGCATCCCTGCACTTCGTACACATCCTTGTGAGAAATAGTCCAGCCAGTACAGATCTGTGTGGGGAGAAAAGAGCGAGTTATTTTTATGATTTTCAAACTCTGTATTCTAGAGATTATTCTGTTATGTTTCCAAAATGCTTTCAAAGCTTATGGCTCATAGTGTTCAATAAACCTAATAGCTGTAAACACTCCAAGACGATCCTGTGCCAAAAAAAAATTCAGTAGGTGGTCTCTGTCTTGTGGTCTCATTGTTTTGATATTGCCTTTAAGTTTCTATAATTTACGAGGGCTGTTTAATCATTTGGCATAAATTTCATGACATAAAAATACTAGTATGTAAGCAAAATATATGAAATGATTTGAGAAGTAAATTACATCCCACGTGGAAAAAGACCAGAAAGACAGACAGCAAAATCTTAACACCAGGCCATGACATTATGAATAGCTTTTTTTTCTTCTCTT